CCCCACCCCCGCCCGGCCTGACGTGACGTCGTCGCGAGGCGCCACGTCCGGCGCGAGCGGCGGGGGGGGGGGGGGGGGGGCGGGGCCGGGGGGCGCGGGCGGGCCAATGAAGGGCACGCGCGAGCGCGCGGCGGGCCAATGAGGGGCGCGCGCGCGTGCGCGGGGGGCGCGGGCGCCGGGCGCGCGTCGCGGTCTGAGGCGGAGGGACGGGGCAAAGATGGCGGCGCCCGTCCTGCTGCGGGTGTCGGTGCCGCGCTGGGAGCGGGTGGCGCGGTCCGCCGTGTGCGCCGCCGGCATCCTGCTGTCCCTCTACGCCTGCCACCTGGAGCGCGAGAAGGGCCGCGACAGCCACTACCAGGCCCTGTGCGACCTCAGCGAGCGGGTGCGCTGCTCCGCCGCCATCACCTCCAGGTGAGGCGGGGGTGGGACCGGCCACCCCTCGCCCCGTTCTCGCCGGCGGGGCGGCCAAGGGAGCGCTGCCCCCGGGGCCTCGGGGGGCGCTGGGGGTGCGGGGAGGTTTCCTGAGCGGGTGCGAGCGCGGAGGGGCCTGTGGTGGGGGCACAGGGCAGGGGGAGGGGGGTCAGCGCTCCCGGCCGGGGCAACCCCAGCGCCGGAGGGCCGGGGAGGGAGCGGCTTTTTTCGGGATCACCGGCTTTTTTCGGGATCACCACGGGCCGGAGGGTGAGGCACCCGCAATTCCCGTGTCGAAATCAGTGGCAATTAGGTGGAGCGACGGGCGTTTTAGTGGTAAACGCTCCTTAGAGCGGAGTGGTGCGGCTGTGAGTGGTGGTTGAGGCCAATGTAAACAAGGGCGATTGCAGGTGGTTTGCTTTGGGTGGTTTTAACTGCGGTATCTTGTACTGCGTTTTCATTGAAATGTCACCTGGCAGCGCGGGAGATGGTTTTGTGGTACAGAGGAAGTGCTTCATTCAAGAGAGACTTGGATCCCTCTGCAGCAAAAGCTCAGCCCAGACCCTGAGTTGTTTTGCAGGTGTCCAGTCAGCTTAGCAGTTGTTTCCTAGAGGTCAACGGCTCTTATTTCTGTTAGGAGAGTCAGTCTGTAATATTCTGTTAACTTGACTTGTCATGTAAGTAGTTGGTTGAGTTACAAATATGAGAAGACTTGCCCTGCTGTGCAGTTACAAGTGATTCCAGTACAAACATGGCACAGGGAATAGTTTCAGGTGGACTAGATCTTAGGTGTCTTTTCCAGCCTTCACGATTTTATGGTTCCAGGTGTAATTTGGCCAAGAAACTCTCTTAAAAGCATATTGTCAGATATCTCAGCTAAAGAAATAAGAGGATTTATCCATCAATCTCAAAATTGCTCAGAGCATAGAATATATGTCTGTGTGCATGTGTAGATATACAGGCACATAAGAACATCCACTATAAGGAAGTGGGAAGGGAGGGGTTTGGTTCTTGAGCAAAGCCCTATTATGTATTAAATGTATTAAATGCTTCCTCCTTTTCTTTTAATGAGAATTTTGTTACTACCATGTGAGTGCCTTCAGCTGAATGAGCACTTGGGATTTATTTTTTTCTCCTCTCAGTGTAACCTGTGTAAAAGCTGTCCCAGTTTTTATCAAGGTACTTGTTGTACCATCATAAAAAGCCAGTTGTGCAGAACATGCCCATTCTCCTATCAAGGTGGAAGCTGTTAAACTGTTGAGGTAAAACACACAGGGATCTCATATTCTGAAAACCTCTTCTGTGGTGACAGCAGTGGGATTGTGTTACAGAGATCTGTATCTCTGGATGTCTGAGAGGGGACTCTTGTGATTGAGTGAGGGCTTTAATTCTGCTTTTCTGTCTGTCCTCAGGTGATCTTTAGTTTGTGGAGGTGCTTGTTCATGTCTTTGTTTGGGAAGTGTCCTGAAGTGACAAGTTTTGCTCTAACTAGGGAGAAGACTTCTACAAACTTGTCAGATAACATAAAACTGTATAAATTGAAGTTGTGCATAGGCCACTGAGATTAAACCATGTGAGTCTCATCAGTAAAATAACTTTCACCACCAGGAGCAAAAAGAGAATAACAGGGATTTAATCATCATAAATCACCTCCATAGCAGCCTGTTCTTGTACAGAATTGGTTCTCCAACAGCTTTTTATTGTTGCTGCAAATGCTGCTACTGAGACAGGCAATTTGATGCACTAGTTTTGATGTGTGTTTACTAAATGCTTGGGAGAAGGAAAACACTTAAAGATATAATTGGAATTATTTCTAATTATGGAATCATGCTTGGTAATTATAATGTTCATTAGTAATGCAGCAGCTGACACGCTGAGTGTGCCATGGCAAGGCCTAGAAATACTTTACTGTAGGAATTCTTTGTAGTAATATGAAGAGTCAGGGATAAAATCAACTGAAAATCTCACCAGCAGTTGCTAGGAGAACATACTTAGAGTTCTCCTATTGCAAATGTCAGGATATCTCGTGGTGATTAGAGCAGGTGGTAAAAGGAGTTTGTGGAAAAGGAACGTGCAAGTTCTGTTCAGTCAAGCCATATTTGGAGAAGAATGTGCTTTCCAGGCTGTGCAGGACACAGAGGAGTGTTGTTGCTTTAAAAGTAAGACAGGAGGGCAAGTGATTAAACTTTGAAATAAGAATAACATTGGAAGAAATTTAACTTCTTTTCCGTGTTGCCACAGCTCCCCATCCATCAGTCACTCTCTCTCAGACGAGCGTTCCTTGTCCCCACATCACCAAGGTTTCTGTGAAACTTGATTTCTAGAAGGGAGTTTTAACTACAATTTAGATTTTACTGGGGTAGTGGAGTTTTGAATCTTGTGTTCCAGCTTTTCCACATGTACTGCAGATTTAACCTTCATGTGTTTCTTTCCTCATTAAGCTGTTACCCTGGCAGTCAGAAATTATTTGATTAGCTGATTAGCAGAGTTAACTCTGTAGAGTTAAATGTGTGACAGACTTATACTTTGTGGCTTTTACTGGCTTCTAGAGTGTTCATTCAGTTGTGTGACTTTTATTTAAGCTGGATTTGCTGATGGAACTTGGAATGTAACAGTCTTCACATTTTGAGTCCTGACTCCCACAGTGGACTGAACTTTAGAAAGCGCTTAATGGTGGTGGGATTAATTTTAAGTGTAGAGAATAATTAGAATAAATTAGTTTATTCTTCCCTGAGCTGACTTTCTGGTATTTGAGGGTGAGGGGTTTTTTTGCTAATAAGCTGTTAGTATTTCAAAGTCTTGCTTTTAAACCCAATCTGGTATTGGCAGAACCACAGGAACAGAGATGTAAAGATTGCCAGCACGCAGAGGGAGGAGCACAGAGAATCTCCTATCAGAGCCTGACTCATACAGAAGATTAGGTTGGAGCAATACCTTCCCAGTATCCCTTATTCAAAACAGGAATGGTCAGCATATTTCAAGCTTTTATCGTGGGGAAAGTTCATGAAGTAGTTTAAAAATAAAAGCTGCTAAGGGCTGTATAATAAAGGAAGGTATTAGGGAAATACCAAACGTTTTCATTGGCAATTGCCGTAGGTGTTTTAAATGAATTGCTGTCTTATATTTGAGAATAAGTGGCAAGAGTTGCCTTGTAATGGAACTGGCCTATGGCAGTTCCTGAAAAATATTTCTGGTCTTGCTGTTACAGTAGTTCCACAGAAGGAATTGAACCAATAGACACGTTTCACGTAATGTCGAGAGTGCTACAGCTTGAAATAAAATGTGACCTTTAAGTTGTAAAGCAGAGACCCAGAGCCTTTTGCTCTGATCTTTTGCTTGCCCTGGGAGATTTTGGAGTCTTCTAATACATTTCTGCTTTCTGTCTTGATTAATTGAAGGTTTCCGCACAGGGGATTAGTGGGTGGCTCTCTTTTTGGAGGAATTTTTGTGGCCTGGAGTGCACTAATGCTGTGACAACTGTGACACAGCCTTGAGACAGCACGAAGGACCAAAGGGCACCTGTCACTGTATGTCTTTAGCAATATTTGCAGCTGCGTAAGTGAAGAGCTTTGGCAATAGTCAATATTGATCTAGGTTAACGTCTTTAGAAGTTCTGGAGTCCAAATAGGATTTTAAGAATCTGTGGATTAATTGGATCTCATTGAGAGATGGCAGATTTTAGGAATTCCCTGTTCTAACTTCATGCTGATGGGGGAGGTCTTGGGTTGTCATCTTGTGTTTGAGCTGCTCTGAAATGCCTGTTCTGAAAAACCCTAATATCCCAGAACATTTTGGGTTGGAAGGGACCTTAAAGATCATATATTTCCAGCCCCCTGCTGTTGACAGGGACACCTCCCACTAGACCAAGTGGCATATCTGCCTTGTGTCTCCTGGTGGATGCACCAAACTCATCACTTGGTAGTTCCTGAAAATGCATATCTGTAAAATGTGTGTGTTGGGCACAGGTCTGTTTGCAGTTTGCCAAGGGTGGCCTGTGACAACTGGAGGATTATTGTGTTGCTCTGCTCACCTATAAATCATTGTGAGCAGTGAATTTACACCTGTCTTAAGTGTTATGTTTGCTTTGCCTTGTGCCACAGTACTTAAGCTCTCTGTTGTGTGAGGGTAGTGGTGGAGAGCTCATTCCTCTGCAGGGTGGGTGTGCATTGTGCTGTGAGGAACTGCAGGTAGAACTGACCTGTGCTGGTTTCTCAGTGAAGAACACCTTGCTAGAATTGTTCTGGTGCATCCTTACAGAATGCAGACTGTGGCACTGATCAGGTTGACAGGAACAACCCCATTATCTGAGGAAATGGGACATGGAACCAAACTTCTCAGACCTCCTCTAACCCGATATTTAAACTGCAGTTCTGTTGTGGGGCAGTTCCTGTAAACTTGATATCTGTCAAGTTTACTTCATTCCAGGTTGAGAACATGATATGGCAGTTATCATTCTTATTAACAGTAAATTCCTGATATCCCAGGATTTTTTTATTGCTGTACCTGCAAGCAGGCATTCAGATATGTTTGAGGTTTGCAGTCAGTGACTGATGTAAGGTGGCAAAAGTTAAAAGTAGCTTTATGCAGGTAGTGGGAGAAGTTTGTCTAGTCTGTTCTTGTGAACCAGTGCACACAAATGAGGCCCATGTGCTTTTTAAAAACATTGTCTTAGTTTTGCAGGTCTTTGGGTTTTTTAGTCAGTAATATCTTTCGTGTGAGCCAAGTTAATTGTTTTTGTCAGGCATCTTTGATTCTGGATAGAAGAAGGTAGAAGTTTGATTAAACTGAGGGTGGAATGTGGAGCAATGGGTGATCATTCAACGGGAACCATATTTGTTGTTCTTAGGCTAGTGAAAGAGTTTACATGAAAATGTAGTCTCCTGAACTCAGCTGCAGTCTGTCCTGGCATTTACCATGGGTGGGTGGTCATTTCAGAGCATTCCCAATGTTAGACAGCAGCTGAAATGGGGCTTCTGCAGTTCCTCTGGATCCATTGGGTT